AGTTCCATGTCTCTAGAAGTCGCGCTTTTTCGAACACGGTAGGCCCTGCGGTTGAGATCGAAGATGTAAAGAACCTCAAGGCCTATTCAGATTACATCTTGCGCCAGGCAAAAGGGCGCTACCAACGAAGCCTTCACGGAGACCGCCTGGGGATGAAAGGCCTGAGAGCCGCGCAGAGGAAGCCTCAGCAACTTTTTGTGGCCTTCAGATCTGTGCTACAAGGGGATCATGCAGGGGTTGATATAGCCACCAGCGCTCATACAGCACTTTTACAATCTCATGGCCTTCTAGAGGAGAGTTGTCAGCTGCAGAGTTGTAAGCCTCTTTTTGACCTGGAGAACTGTGAAGGACTGTGCATAGACGACTACTTTGCTATGAGCCTGGAGCAAGTAGGCACTCCGTTGCAGGCCTCAAAAGCCAGCCAGAAGATAGGCACAGCACGGGCTGCCTATAGGCAGGCCGAGCTGTTGGGGAGCCCGGAGAAGGACATCCTAAGTGATAAAGCGAAAATCGTAGGTGCGGTCGTGAACTCATCCTCAACCGCTAGGGATCAGGGGTTGGTCACCCTGTCCGCCCCGATCGAAAAACGGATTGCGTTATCAGTGATTAGTTTGCAACTTGCCACACTCACACACACCACCGATGCGTTGCATGTTTGCCTGGTAGGAGGGTGGATCTCTGCAGCCATGTATAGGAGGCCTGTTATGGGGCTCTTCCACAAAGTTTTCAGCTTGGTCGACAGTGCCTCTATTGACCCAAACCATCCGAAGATCATCCGCTTGCCCAGGACCACCGCAAACGAGTTAGTTCTGGCCTCGGTACTAGTCCCACTCATGTGCGCCGAACTTAGTGCAGAGTTCAGCACTCAGGTTTTCTGTAGTGATGCCTCAAGTAATGTGGGAGCGTTTTGTGCAGCCACTGTGCCGCGTGCAGTCTCGAGAGTGCTTTGGAAAGCCTGTAAGTCAAAGGGTGCATACACACGCATGATGTCCCCGGTTGAAGCGGAGATCTTTAAGCTCGGAGGCTCGGAAGAGTTCGAAGGGAAGGAAGAGGTAAAGCCGACCTCGATCAGAAGGCCCTTGGCCTATCGGTTTGACTTTATAGAACTTTTCGCAGGAGCCGCAAAGGTCGCCCATTCCATGGAAGCAAAAGGCTGGTCAGTAGGGCCCCCCATTGACTTGAGTCACAGCCCCGAATATGATATGACTAGCCATTATCTGATGTCATGGTTAAGCCATCTGATTCAGAGTCATGCCATAAAAAGTTTTGCCTGCGAACCACCGTGTACTACTTTTTGCATCATGCGACGGCCGCAATTGAGGTCAAAAGAAAGACCATATGGCTTCGATCCTAGCCATCCACAAACCCATACAGGCACCGCGCTTGCCCTTCGTGGTTTGCAGTGCCTTGAGTTGGGATGGAGACACGGGGTCCCAGGGTGGCTTGAAACTACGTATTCATCTAAGATGAAGTTTCTCCCACCTTATAAGACTCTTAGGGCCAAAAGGTGCGTGGACTTTTGTCGAACCGATTCGTGCCGTTTTGGATCCCCTCACTTAAAACCTTTTGCTTTCCTCAGCGTTTGGGCTCCCCTCGACCGTATCCGTCAGAGATGCGTCTGCAAAGGCAGGCATGTAGTGATCGAAGGAAAACTCACGAAGGCTAGTGCCATGTATACTGATGGGCTGGCCGATGCCCTGGCCACTGTCCTTTCAGAGGCCATCAATGCCAGGGCCAGCGCAGATCTCGAGTGGGATCAAGTCCAGACGGCAGGGCTTGAGAATGCTTTAGTGAACCAGGTTGCTCTGGAAGCACCCTGGTCTACCCTGAGGTCCTGGCCTTTTCGTCGCCCGGTCCACATTAATATCCAAGAAGCTGTCTCAGTCCTTAAGGTAGTTGAGCATTTGATTTTGAAGTGGGGACCTCAGAGGGCAGCCATTTTGGTCGACTCCAATGTTGTGAGGTGCGCAGTCTCTAAGGGACGCACTTCCTCGAAAGGTCTGATGCCTGTCATTGCTAAGGTAAATGCCTTGTGCCTAGCAGCGGGCGTGCAGATCTGTTTACCTTTTTGTCCCACCAGACTAAACCCATCAGACGACCCAACCAGAGGAGCCGCTCTGAGAAGCCCCATTCAAGGCTGTGACTTGTTTAGTTTTTCGGAGGGCGAACTTGCACAGCTCTCAACTTGCGCCGGCCTTAGACGTTGGAGCGCAAATTGGGTCCGCCTGATGCTCAGCTTGCTAGGTCCCGGCCTTGTTTTCTTAAAGGATCGGAGCCGCTTTCGATCGCCCTGTGCCTTGGATTTCAGACCGTCGCTTCAAACACACTTCGAGAAAGGTTTTGATCAGACCCTTGGATACCCAGGGGAGGGGCCAGGCACTTTCGATCCTGCTTCTCGGCACACGGTTCTGCATAATTGTCGGCTGGAATTTGATAGAACCTTGGGTTTCCCTGGAGAAGGTCCTTCTCCACTCCTCTTCATCTCTCTGCTCCTACTCCTCTGTTTGTTTCAGGGCAAGCGAGACGCGCCTCTCTTGTGGATTTCAGGAGCCATTTTGGGGGGGCCGCGATACGCCATGGGAATGCCACTGAAACCACGAAACTCTGGAGATAGAGCGAGAGCTGAGCACAGAGCCCAGAAGTTACCTTTAGCTTCAGGACGACCTGTACTGCAGATCACCGCCAAGCACCGAGAGGAACTTCTGGAGGCCTTCAGAGCCTGGCTGCTGACAAGGGGGTTGGAACCTGGTGACCTTTTTTACAATACCTATCAGACAGTTGAAGAAATCAACATCTTGTTGACAGCGTACGGCCGTGAGCTGTATCGGGCCGGCAGGCCACTCAACCACTTCTCGGAGACCATAAATGCAATAGCATCCTGGAAGCCACAGCTGAGAAGGGCCCTTCAAGGGGCCTGGGACCTGGCCTATAGCTGGGTCAAATCCGAACCATCTACACACCATACAGCTATGTCTCCCCAGGTTCTGATGAGTTGCATCTCAGTCTGCTTGATCTGGGGTTGGGTGCGTCTGGCAGGCTGCCTAGCCCTAACATGGGGAGGTTTACTACGGGCAGGTGAACTCCTACAAGCCCGACGCCAAGACCTGCAGCTGCCGTCGGATCTGGCAGGAAGCGTGCCCTTTGCACTCCTTTCCATAAAGGAGCCGAAAACAAGGCACACAACCGCGAGGCACCAGTGTGCCAAGCTCGACATTCCAGACTTGGTGCAGCTGGCAGAGCTCGCCTTCCAGAAGTTAGCGCCCTCCGAACCTCTTTGGGACATGAGCGCTCAAACGCTCAGGTCTAGATTCAAGAGCCTACTACAAGCCCAACGACTTCCAACAAGTACTTACAGAGGGATGAAAGCGCTTGACTTGGGATCGCTCCGCCCAGGCGGAGCAACGCACATATTACAACTGACTGAAAGTGGAGACTTGGTGATGCGCCGCGGGCGCTGGGCAAGCTACAGAGTAATGAGCATTTACATTCAAGAAGTCACCTCTACCTCCTTCCTGTCAGTGTTGGACAAGGACGTGAGAGACAACATCCTTGACCGAGCCCAGTGCTTCTCTTACTTTTTGGAACAGGCAAAGGCTTTTGAATCAGCTAGGATCCCAAGAGATGTATGGCACTTTTTGTTTGGCGCCACCCAGAAGAAAGACGCTTGAACGAGCTGGGGTTGAATGGGAAGAACGGGTGGCTTTGCATTCCAGATGAGCTAAGTTTGCTCTCTGTGTGTGTACAACCGCATGAGCGGGTGGAAAATGGATCACCGAGTGGAGGTTGAGTTGATGATCGAATATCCACGAACGCCGCAACTCGTCTTCTCAAGCTTCCCACCCGGGAGGCCCGCCCTTATCTCTGGGTGGCTTTGCATTCCAGATGAGCTAAGTTTGCTAATGGATCACCGAGTGGAGGTTGAGTTGATATATAGTCAAACATATTTCGGAAATCTTTTTGCGTGAATACCTCAAAGAACTCTTCGGATACTATGAGCACTACATCAACGAAACAGAAATAGAAGAGCACCTACAGAAAGTGATAAAGACTTAAAGAACAAATACCTATATATAATAAGAGAAGAATGACAAGTGCTAAAGTCTATGATATGAGTGAAGTATCAGAAAATGTAGGGTTGTATATTGAAGTTGGTAGTGACAGTGAGGGTGAAGACTGGGAGAGAGAACAGATAGAAAAAGAAGATGAAGAGATTAGAGACTTTGTAAAATGTAATCCTATGCCTTCTCCTGATGATGAGGGTGGTAATGAGTTCTGGTTCAAAGTGGTTGATAGGTTGAAGGCAGACCAAGGAATAAACGGTATGATAATCTTTTCATTTGCGGACTTTGACATTGTAAAAAGAATGTATGAAAACCAAACGGACAAAAAGGTCATCATTGAATGTGGTAAAGAACTCAACAGTGATGGAGGATGGGATGCTATGGCAATAAGCCAAACTCTTTTAGCATTAGCGATCGATAAACTGAACGATACAGATAAACCTATCACAACTCAAGTCAGGATAATCGAACACTGGTGGGATGGAATAGGAAAGTGGAAAGCATAAATACAATTAATTCATAATATCTTAATTAATCATATTATGAACTAATCCTTTAAACCACAACCGCAAAAATAGAACACAACAACCTAAACAAATATCCACCTCGTTGAATATCACCGAACAGAGTGATTTTTAGCACCAAATTTTCCCCAGAACCCCCATAGAGAATAACGACAAAGCCTCAACACAAATTCTAGCGAGGCAAAAAAATCAACGAGGTGGTTGATGAACAAGAACTCCCCAGAACCCCCATTTTACAATTTTTTGGGGGGGCGGAGCCCACGTGCTTGGGTCAAAAACCAGTGGAACCTACAGTGGAATTTGTTAGAATGGGGCTGATGGATGCAGCTTTCTTCATCCCGTTCTTTGGTTCGCTTTGTTGGAGCTTTTTGTTCCACGTTCTTCTGCAGATGGGTTGGCCAACCCTTCCTCCCAGGGGAAGCTGTGAAGAAGACGCTTCCCGATTGTCGCGTGGACGCGCGGCTGTTCCAGCCAGGCCGGAGCGGAAGCTAGCTGGAACAAGCTGTGAAAACGGGTCGGTCTTGGAGGAGAGACCAGGAGGGGACTCCAAAGGAAAAAATACTATTGGGTCGGAATCGGTTTAGTAGTTTCTGACTTTGTTCATTGGGCTGCTAGGTGGTGGGTACTAGTCACTGACGCTTATGACTTTGGTCTTTGGTATTCCGAACAGCTGCTGCCGGGTGGTGGTACTCTTATTCATCGCCAACTTCTGTATTTTTGGCACTCGGCTTTGTTCACCCCTGCCGTTTGTTCTCCAAAGACACCCTGAAAGGTTTCCAGCCGGAGCAGGCTGGGCACAGGGGGATTGGGTCGGGATGATGGTGACTAGTTCGGGGTGGGGCGGTGCATGTTGGCTTTCGAACAAGCTTTTGTATGGGGGCTTCGGCTTGATCAAGAGGATACTTTGTAGTTTGCATTTGAAGGTCCACTGTTACTGCACTCAGTTGATCGGTGAACCCACATGGCTTGACGCTCAAAGCCACCGCGGCTGGGCGAGGCAGAGAAGGGCTGGGCCTGGCGGCTCCTGGACGCTTTGCAGACGGAGACGCAGGCGGTGGAGACCGGCCGAGACGAAGGGCCTCGCTGGGTGGAGACGGAGAAGGTTCAATGGCTAGCTCATTTGCTGCTCGGGGAGTGGATTGCTTGAGGGATTGCTTGAGTGGGGTGTGAGGTTGAATCTTTCGGGTCCGTTTTAAGAAACAGACATGTTCTTAAAGAGCTATTCTCAAATCGTCCTTGAAGGTCGTTGTGCCACAGAAGGCCATCACACAGAGCCTTCGTTCTTGCTTGGCAGTTCCTTTGGGCCCAACCCTGCTTCGGCCTACCTTCGATGGATGCTTTGTCTTCATGCTGACAGCAAACCCAGTGCTGCACCCCACCCGCAGCTCTGGGTCATGCACTCTCCATCTCTCCTGGTCTTCACAGGCCGGAGCGATGCCGACCACGCCGGTCGCACCGGCGGCCGCACCGACTCCGGCAGCGCCGGTGGCGGCGAAAGCGGAAGCGACCAGTGCACCGGTGGCGCAGGCTTCGAGTTGAGGAATCTCAGTTGTGGTTCAACGTGGATGAAGGGGAATGATTGGAAGAAACAGATTCAACAAATTCAACAACATCCTTTCTCAGTCATTGAATGAGGGGATGCATTGGAGATCCGAGACGACCTGAGACCAACGCCTTCGCCCCCAACGGCCTCCAGGCGGTACATGCGGAGCTTCCGGAGCTTCCGGAGGCGCCGCCCGCGCCGCCGGAGGCGCCGCCGGAAGAGTCTCCACAAAGCTCTCCGCAGTCGAGGCGCAGAGTTGACTGGGCCTTGAGGATTCAATATGGTCATTCGGATGGCAGGGAAGAAGAGGCATATCATTTGTGTTCGTTTGTGTCTCTGTCTTTGTCTCTCCCTCTCCCTCCGTCTCCCTCTCCCTCTCCCTCTCCCTCTCTCTACCTTTCAGCAACATGTTGCAAAAAGAGGGCCCAGCCTCGGCCCAGCCTAAAAAGGTTCTCGGGATCCCCCCAACTCTTTCCTGCCAGGCGGAGCTCGCCCCAGGCGCCCCCGCCCGAGGCGCCCCCCCAGAGCTCGGCGCCCTCGCCCCATGCGCCGGCCTCGCCGCAGCGGAGGGGTGCGGCCTCGCCGGCCAAGGCCGCCGATGGGGGCGGTGGGGGCGAGAGTGGGAGGTACGTGGGCAGGTGGAGGGGAAAAGATCAGGAAAAGAGCTGCCAAGCTTTGTTTCTTTTTTGCAGGTGATCAAACATCCGTTTACAAGCTGGAGTGCATGTTCAATGCCTACAAAGACCATTGGTGTTTAGGTGACCTGGAAAGGGAACTCAAGGTGTAGCTTTGGACTTCCAGGGTCAATGTGAGCAGGAAGCTTCGACTTTGTTGCTTTTTTGTTAGGGAATGATTGGTTCCTCTCATTTGCGTTCCATGGATGGATTCTCTCTATTCTTGCTGAGGTTATGCTGTGTACATCAGTGGACACGAGCGTCGTTGCGATAGTCTCATTCCTCGTCATTCCTCGCCACGCGCGGCTTGAGTCTTTTCTCTGGAGTGACAGGTCAGTGGGGTGGCCAGAGGTGTCAAGAACAGTTCCCTCTCCTTTTGTGTGGACCGTGTGAATCGGCTTGGTCCGGTCGGTGACCCACCGCTCCGAACCCCGGTCCGGTCGTCGCGACGGTCCGAACCGCCTGCCTCGGTGCGGCCAGAGCAGCGGCTCCTATGGGGATGAGGAGTTCGATGAGGACTTCGAGGAGGAGTCCGAGGTGGAGGAATGAGCGACGCTCCCAGGAACGACGCGAGTTCCGCGGCCCCTCCAAGGCATTTGGGAGTGTTTTCGAAGAGGCGTGCGTACAGCAAAGTCTGTACCTGCAAGGGTCTTGAATGGCCATTCCTTGAGCTCTTGGAACGCATAGAATCCGTGTTTAGAACCCGTGTTGGTGATTGAACCCGTGTTTAGATTGACATCCTGGAAAACTGGCATAGCAAGGAACTAGGATTGTGTAGTGGGGATGCCACTGAATTATGACGGCTACGAAGGGCATTGGACGGGATTCTGCAGTTCCAATTGATGAACATAGTGCCCTTGGGCTCCGCCACCGCTGTTTCATGGGACGAATCTGTCCTCTGCTTCAGCGCGCATTGTAGCTTTAGGATGGGACCCTGCCGCTGTGGGATCAGATGCCTTTGTTGGTTGGAGAATTCATTTCGCAGAACGGACCCCAAGCATCGCAAAGTCGCCCGCTGCTGGACGCTCACTCGGCATTTCCCTGCTTCCCCTGCTGATCAAAAGACGGGTCGTGGAGGGAAGGAAAAGAACACAGCAGCGCATTCAGTGATCAGTGTCCAATTTCTCTAATCAAGTCTACTGTGCAAAAGGCTCCGGTTGAGCTTTTGGAGATGTCCCAGAACAGATGACTGACATACCAAGAGAGGTCAAGTGATACCTATGGGATAGCCTCTAGTGTTTCGTCCTACCTTGTTTTGGGGATAGCCATTCTGGTGCTACTGCTCCGACCATCCGGCCGTCGGCCGGCCGTTTGGGCCCAGCTTCGAAACCCCGGAGACTCCGGGGACCGACCGTGCGGCCCTGGTTGAAAGGCGCCGGGTTGACCGGGCCGGGTCAGCTCAACGGACGTGCCGAGACGGGGTGGGAGAATTCTGAAGGGACTTGGTTTTGTAGGCTTTAGCTAGAGTGAGTGAGTTCCTTTTTTTTGGGGGAGGCAAACTTTTGTTCAATAGCATGTCATGATCAAGTGAGCCTGAGAACTAGGCCCTGGACTATGAAAACATCTTTTTGGTAGGCAGTCCCACACAATTCGTGCAGCGACACCCACACTCTCTCTGTTCAGGTAAGGCCGTCCAGGAGAAGGACACTGGGAGTCGCAAAAGATGGGAGCCAGGTGGTCCGACTGGTGGTTCAGCTGGTGAGCTCCTGCACCAAGGGTCTGAGTTAGCGATATGGTGACGCGCTTAGAGTCCTTTTCTTGATTGCTCCAGACGGAAAGAAGCCTGGGCGGGACGCTACGCACCACGGGATCGTGATTTTGGGATGCCAAACCCAGAGAACCCAAGAAAGTAGATGCCTGCCAACCCTGGGTAATCTAGGGAAACTCCAACCTGCTCCGAAAACGTCCACCTCTCGGAAGCCTGTCACGTTGGATCCTGTCACTCTGCAGGAGCCATGCCGGTCCTAGCCACCGGCGCCGCCGTCTGGGTGGCCTAGAGACGCCGGCAAAAGTGGCAAGAAACTGTCCCCTTGTTCAGCCAATTCTTGTCACTATGTATTAGGATTTTTACATGAATAAAATGTCTCTTAAGAAATACCATGTAAAAATCCTTACTTTTATTATATTATTCATGGAATTTTCTTAATAAGAGATTTTACACATAGAACATTCCATGTCATAATAATAAAGAAAGTGATAGTTAAACTTATTCAACCAGGCGCGATTCCTGCCAGGCATTTCGGCCAGGCCATTGGGGCTGGATGGAGAACATGACCCACAATCCCATTCCGTTCCCCAAAGACCCACAACCCTTCGATTTCTCTGCCGTGCCACGGTACGCTTGCTGTGATTCATGCAACCACGCCCCTCTGAGACCACTGCTGCGGCGGGTGCAGTGGCCACTGGCGCGTTCAAGTTGGGGCTGGCCCAGTACTGGGATTCGTTATAGAGGAATGGAGTGAAGGAGAGGGGGGAAGGGAAAGGAAAGTGGAGCCAGAGTAACTAGCACGCCGGCCCAGGGCCCACCTAACCGGGTGCCAGATCTCTGCCTTCCATTTGCCCTGCTAGTAAACTGGCTCTTCATCTGCGCCTCTTCAGCAGCTGGACCGAGTCACCTGCTGGTCCCTCTTCGAGGTACAACCGAGCCAACTATCTCTTCGATGCCGGCCTCCGCTTCTCCCGATACACCTCAGGGTACAACTTCGCCATGGCACAGGCCGAGTGGGAAAGAGGGAGAACGAGACAGAGATGCCTACATGGAAGTTTCACTATGGAACTAGTTTAATGTGGAACTATGGAACTATGGTAGTTTGATATGGAGATATGGAACCTGAAACATGGACCTTTGGAAGACTAGCTTCCGCAAACCAGCGGTATGGACCTTGTCACGTAGCGTAGAGTCAAGGACATCCAGGAAGGGACGTTTTTGCAAACAGGTGCTTTTTGGATCTTTTTGGCATCTTCGGCCGCCATGGGATTCTGCAGCTTTCCAGACCTTCTCCAGGCCACACAGTACCGTCAAGACATCCGCGACTTGACTGCCCTGACGGTCACCAAGATGGCGCGCGGGCTGGGCGGGACGTGACATCCCCGGTGGCCAGCTGCAGGGCAGGAACTGGTGGATCGATGGAACCCCCTGATGTTACCATGAAAGGGATGTTGCCATGAATCCTTTTGTTTTGGGGTGGTACAGCCCCCCTTCGGACCCCCGCTGAACAAGGAGACATGCGGCAAAGATTAAGAGGAATGGGTTTGGAGAGAGCTTGGATTGGGCGTAGGTGTTGGCCGCCAGGCTTTGCAGGCCGAGGTTGGAATCTCCTTGGTCGAGCCCACACAAATTGCAACAACATGGCTCTGAAAAGAACAAGTGGGTGAGATGGTGATAGGTGATGCGCGATTTGGCCGTGGTATTCAATTATATTGTGTATATATATATATTGTATGTATATCATCTTCATTATTCACCATGGCATTCCTGTTGCTGAATTGGTGACTTTATGAACCTCCTCCCCCCCACCCCTCCCACCGAAAAAGAAGAGAAAAGCCGGTGAGCCGAGCAGCGGTCGTGCAGTGAGCAGTCTGAATGGAATGAAGAGCTCACCTTTCCTCCAAAAAAGACACACATGGACCTTCCAGAGGCCAGCTGAGGCCTAGGCCAGCTGCAGGTCGCACCTTTGAAGAAGTGGGTTTGTCGATGATGTCACACCCCTGGTCTTTGACGCATTTGGTCTTTGGAGGACACCTACCACGTCATTGGCGTGATTTTCTTTGTGCTGAATTTCCAGCTGATCATGGCTGGACGTCGGGGTGGCCCAAGCAGTCTCTGGCGTGCCAAATGTCCTTGAGATATGTGTGAATCACACTGGTTTGATGCTGGTCAGAAAGGACATATGGGTGAGAGAGTTTGTACATTGACTTGCTGTTGTCAAGATGTTTGCTTCATCCTAACAAGATTCGATTTGCTCGACCGACTCCGCACGCCCCGATTTGGCGTGGAAAAAGCCACGAAAAAACCTGAGGTTTGGGAGTGCACGGACCATCACCTCCGGGCTACATCATGGGCAGGGGCCTCTTAGATTCGCGGGAAGAACTTCGGCTGTGTGACTTGAACAGGTGTGAAGCTTGTGGAGCCTGGGACACCCTACACACGAGTGGGACCACCCACCAGCTTCTTTGGGCTTGTCGGACCAGGCTTGTCCGGATGCTCTTCGTTGCGTCTGGGAATTGGGTTTCCGGCGCACCATGCTTCCACTCTTTCCGCAAGGGGCGGTGTCCATGGTGTCCTGATTCCGGTGTCCGGGGATGTGGACCGTCGCTGGAGATCCAGGTGTTTGTATATAGGTGTTTCCATTTATAACGTCCGGGTTGGAATCCAGCTTCGAAATGCTTTGAAGGGATGTGAAAGCAAACACCCTCCTGGTTACCCATCGGTTCCTTCCATTTTCCTTCCATTCTTGCCGCTGCTGTGAGGTCTCTACTGGGTGAACATTTGCAGTGTACAGCGCTGAGTCATTCTTCTGGGATCTTTGATCAAGGGCGTGAAAAACCTTGGGAGGAGCCTCTCTGCACAGAGTTTTGACGCTTCTCAACTTCCAAACTCTGAGTTTTGATTGTTTCAGGGAGTCTCAATGGACTGAGATGCTGAGGCCCTGATGTTCCTTTGCGTGCTTATTTGGTTCACTCTGCACGTCCGATCCTGAGCTGAAAGGCTGGTCTTTGGAGGGTATGAAGATGAGCTGACGAACATGAAGCATTTCCCAGTGCTTCCAAGTGCATGTTCCCTCCTTCTGAGGCAAGCTTTCTCTGTTTGAAGCAGATTATCTGTTGATATATACTGTAAATATACTGTACATAATAGGTAATTCAGATCTGGTTAGCTCCTCTTCCTCCAGCGCCTGAGCTTCTCTTGTCTCGGTGAGTCCGTCCCACCCCCCACCGAGGCCTCCGCTCGGGCCACCGCCGGCTCCGTGCACATGCTCACGCGCACCGTGCCTTGGGATGAACCGACCCAACGACACCGGCGTCGTGGAAGACGGGTCTTCCGCAAGACGTGGTGGGGGGTTGGAACAGCTGGGTTCACCCGGAGGCAGGTCTTAAGACCTGGGTCTGGGTGAGCCGAGTCTGTGAACGCCGGCGTTTTTGCATGTTATGTTTTGACACACATGTTGGTGGGTCGGTCCTGCCATTGAAGGGCTTAGAAGGCTAAGGGAGCGGGGTGTGGCTTGGGTGTGCTCTTCTCACGACTGGCTGATCTTTGCGGCATGTCGCCACAAGTCCTAGGCTTTCCACCTCTGTTCTCATCTTCCGCCCTTCACACGCGTCCAAATACTTGTGAAGAATGGAAGTGGAAAGCCCCCTGTTCGTAGAGGAAACAGGTCATCAAAGACGGCCATGCCATCCATTTCCACCATGACGATATTTCAGGCAGAATAGTAAATCTACTGTAAAGGATTGTGTTTTTCCTTGATTCCTTGTTGATCATTCTTGATTCATTGGTGATATTCAGTGTTTTGATGGTCTCCTCGCGAGCGCCGTTCCGTCGGCTCCAAGGTGCGTCTGCCGATCCCAACCCCAAAGCAGCTGGACAAGGCGAGTGGAAAGACTGGTGATCCAAGTGGCTGGGGGGGTAGTTTTGACTTTTTGACTTTTCTAAGTGTTTGGCTTTTGCGTTTTGCCTGGTGTCTTGCAAATAGATCGTAGCTAAAGGATTTAGCGAGC